TCTACACGAACATAGTAATGCATTTAGGGAACACAACCACAAATAGATATGTTGTAATGCTATTTTACTTATTTGTTTTGTAGATAAATATTTTTTTGCACTTGATGATGGTTTTTCTTTTATATCAGGGTTGAATCTGCTCATTGGAGCTTGAAGAAATTTTTGGGCAATAGTATGGGTGATTTGTGTTCTTGTTGGGATAGTATTCATAACATTGTTATCCTACAACACAACAAGATTAAGGCGTCACTTGAAAGAAGTTTGTTGCTCACGATTGACCCTTTTAAAGGATATGGATATAGAAAACTTATTGGGTGTGTCTCTCGATATGCATTGGATCTCATTGCTGAGGAATTGGAAAGAGTGCAGCAGATAGGATTGGACTCATCAAAGTGTGGATGTGTATTGAGATGTACATTTGGTGTGTCCCTTGTGCATGTGAATTAGCACGATATGATCCTGGGATGATCCTTCTTGGTGAATCTCATATCGATCATGTGGCGAAAATTGCATTTCTCAAATGTTGAATTAAATGAAATCGAGCCCTAATTATCCATTAAAGATGAGTTGAAACAAGTAGAAGAACGATTCAATGAGGTTAACATTGGAGGTAAAGTCACCATCAAGCAGAAGTTACTTGACATTACTTGTCCTACAATGATATCAATGGTCCCTCCATTACATAAAGTCAAGACAAAGGGTGCACAAAAAAGTAAAGTTCAACGAAGAGAAAGGTCTACTACGCCGGATCCATCATATTTTGAGCATGTGGACACCTTTCATTCAACCTATAAATCTTCTTCTGTGAGAAGTAAATTACAATCAAAGCCAAATCCAGTGAAGAAAAGAAGAGTTCCAATGATATACTAGTTTCATTTTATTACTCACCCCTTCATTGTGGACGTTGTTGATGTTGTGGCTGATGGTCATTGTGGATTAGATGCATTGTTGCGTCGTTGGGACTCGGAGAAGATTCATGGTCCATTATCAGACATGATCTGTACAAAGAACTCAATCAATGGCGTGATGAATACGCAAGTCTAGTAGGAAGCTATGATAGGCTAGAAGAACTGAGGAAGTCTTTGTTGGTGCAGTCATAGTCAACGGTAAATGTTTCCCGTTTTATGTATTTTATTTATTATATTTATTTTTTCTAACAACTTGTTTTATTCATTACAAGCTAATAGGAACAAGTGGATGACATTACTAGACATTGGTTATGCAATTGCTAACCAATATAATGTCATCTTAGTGTGTATGTCATATTCTCAAAATTATACTATCTTTCCACTACGTTCCACACCACCTTCTGATATAACTTAGCATCGCTTAATTTGCATAAGACATGTTCATGGATGTCATTTTGTGCAGGTAATATTGTATTATTTTGTGCTTTCATTTTAAAATTACTTATCACTCAATTAACTATTGTAATTTGTATAATGCATGTTAAGCTACAAGAAGGTTGTCCTCTGCCCATGGTGGATATCATCTCCTCACCCTGTTATCCTCAGGCACGAGCGTGGTCATCTATTTATACTAGTAGGATGCAAACATTTGCACAATTGATGGGCGTAACAAAATCTTATATTAACTTAGGTGACTTGTGATATTTATATTATGTCTGATGATATGTAAAAATACACTATTAGTTGTTGTTAATTAAGTATTTATTCATTTACTTTAAATCATATATCTCGTATGATCTGTATAAACAATAAAAGAACATGTAAATGAAAATGAAAACGTTAATAAAAAGTGAAAGCGATATCATTATTCATTGGACTCTTAAACAGGTGAAATGAAATGAAAAAACCAAATACAAACTGATAATCCTAATATAAAGTGAAACAATGAAACACAGAGTCTTATCAATTAGACGTTGACCGTCTACCACATACATGCTTCTGACCTCTCCTACTCGGAGAATATTCCGCAATGCCCTCATTAGCAATTTGAAGCAGGTCGTCTGATGTACAACAGTTTTCTCGGTCACATGACGACACAATAGCATGGACTATAAAATTCTCGTCATTTGCCTAGTCTAGCCTGCATTATAATTGTGTCTAACAATTAAATAAACAAGGTGAAGAAAATTTAATAATATAAGCAATGAAAAATAACATACCAGGGTGCCAGATGGTGAAGGTGGAGACGGTCTACGATGGGGTCGTGCCTCCTGTGGAACATTGGGGCGCTGTGTAAGCACAAGAGCTGGTCACGCGTCATCTGCAGCAACAATAATAAAAGGATGTGAAACCCTCCTTAACCACTAAATGTACCCATAGACACAATCAGAAAGGGATGTTGCATGTCTAACATTACTCACAATGTGAACTCTAAAGTGCAAACAAACATGATTGATGAGTCAATATTTTCTTGATTTCACTTAGTTTATTGTGTTAGATTTAGTTAGGAAATTGTGCTTGAATGTCCAGTATTTTCCCATTTTTGCTAATTGTGTTTAATTTGACCATAAATTCTTATTTTAATTAATTTGAATTATCTGAGGTTAATTATTTGAATTATTAATTGCAGGAAAATTGTTCGATAATATTTTGCAACATTTGGAGGGCTATCACATAATTCAAGACTCTCCAAAAAAGAGTGTGCAAAAGAAGGAGCGCACTACGGTGATTTTATTCTTTGGGCTTGTGAGAGAGGAGGTGCGGATTTCATTTTTGGGGTGCACACGGACAGGGAGCTGGAATGGGCCAGTTGGAAAAAGAGGTCACACGGTGAATTCAATCTTGGCTTGAGAGTTGCTCCCTCCACCGGTGGTGTAGGGAGTAAAACCCTCTTGGCTTTAAGAAAGAAAGAAAGTGCTGATTCACGGGGAAATGGTCACGGCCTAGGAGCAATGTTCATTCAATTTCCTTTTGAAAAGTACATTTCTTCATTGCTGAAAAAGACGGACACTTGGCTGCAAAGGGGTAATTAACATTAGAAGGTGCACACAGTAGCTGCCACGGCCTGGGGAATGCATTTGGAGCGTCCATGTGGGCTTCAAAAGAAGAGAGGTGCTGAATGAAATAAAAAGGCAGCAGCACGTCCAACACGTCACGGCCTGCACTCATTCAATTCTTCATCCAGCAGGGCCCATGAGAAGGAATCTTTGGACACTAGCACGTGAAGATGGGATTCAACCTTCATAATAAAGGAGCAGCCACCGAGAGGAAAAACGTGGAAAGCAGCACATGACCCACACTTGGAGCGTCCAGCAGAAGCAGCAACAGCGGGCGGTGTCCAGCAATGAAATAGGTCCAGCAAGCACGTGAGGTAGGCGTTCATTATTCATATAAGAGGGCGGTGCAGCAAGGAAAAAGAAAACAACAGCTAGTCCAGCAAAGAGTAGAGGAGTGTCCAATAGCTGACGCGTCCAGCAAAATTGGAGATGACAGTGACGTGCCCAAAGTGAATAGGGCATGCTCTATTAAATGGAAAAGGGGAGACACACGGGCTGGTGTCCAGCCGCCACCTTCACTTGGCTTCTCTTTTGAACATTTTTATTGAATGGGGGGAAGAAAAACACACGGAGACAGTGAGTAGGATGGAGGGCTACGGTTGAAGGAGCTCGCGTTTTCTTTTCTTCTAGCAGCTCTCGGTCACAGCAGCAGAAGCAAGTGGTGTCACGACCTATGCATTTTATTTTGTTGGAAGCTGCCACACACCAAGGAACTCACGTTACATTAGAATTTCTCTTTCTTGTAGGTGTTGTTAGAAAAGCAAGCATTCATTTAATTTAGGATGTGCACACTGTTACGGAGGGCATATGGCTGCCGCGTCCAGCTTTAGGAGAGCAAAGTTTTAGGATCAATTTATTTGCTTTTAGAAAGTGGGTGTTGACTCATATGTGTTGGAGAGAAGAGACGTATTCCATTTTTCATTCTATTGCATTGTGCACACACGGATTTTTATTCACATTTCTTGAAAAGGGCTGGCATTTAATTAATTCCTTTTAGATAAGCATGAAGTGATTCATTTACTCTTTGCACGCTGTACGGTTCTAGATCAAGGACGGTTCTAGATTAAGGGGATTTCATAAGCATTTTTCTTCCTTTATTTGAGAATCTGTTACGATAATTTTGGAAGCACACAGCTCACGGTCACAACATCACACGGTGCATTTAAATTGATTCCAGGAGATAAAAACGGGAGGTGATGTGATGCTGATTTGATTTTGGAAGAGGAGAGTTCATTTGGCTCGGTCACGGGAGAAGTGAAGCACGTTGGAGGAATAGGTGTGCAGGGGAATAAGGAGCAAAGATCACGGTGTTTTCTTTCTTTTAGCTAGCACGTGCATTTTATTATTAAATGTATTTTCCTTGCTTAAAATTAGTTCAAGCACTTTTTGTATATTTTCTTTTAATTCCCGTTGGTTTGTGTTTAAATGCAGCAGCTAAAGTGTTGCATTTGAATAACACACCAAATGTTTCTTTATTAACTGATGCATTTTAATTAGTTCACACATCTTATTTTAGGACCTTTGTTTATTATGTTGTTTATTTTGTTCGGCTTTTTTATCTTCCTGCATTTCCAATTTCCTCATTTGCTTTAGAGACCGTTTGGTCTCAATGTAGGACCGTTCGGTCTTCATGCTTTGTCCATTTATTTCATTGTTTTCAATTATGTTTGGTTGTATTTAATTTCTAGTTTTAATTTAGTTCATTTCGAATCAAAAAAACATTTTCAAAACCTCTCTTACTACGTGTTTGACCTAAGACTCGAACCACATTTGGTCCTTGAGAGATGATTTAGGAGTCACTTCCTAGCACTATACTGCATTTTTAATGCACATCAAATTTGTATGGGCCGCGACAGCCCCATCATTGATCAATGGCCACTATATATGGAACGACAGTGAGTGATCGTGGAATATCCTGTTGAAACCCAAATTGCCTCAGCACACGCTCAGGAAAATGAAGGCAAAGGGTGTCTCCAATCCGAATCCATCCAGAATACATACAGATGTCGAAGAATGGTCGAATGCCCCAATGTCCCTAATATGGATGCCATAAAACTCTACTGTATGTCAAGGCATCCAACTGTGACCGAATCTCCGCGAGAGTGGAACTTTTCCTAGGGCTTTGCCACCTAGTGGCGCGCGGTGTGCTGTCATCGTAAGAAGACATCAATTGCCTCCTTCCCATGCCAAGGAAATGCTCGTATCTCAAACTCTAAAAGAATAATTATTCAATTAAATTTCATCCATCTTCGAACATGGAAATAAGTACATGAAATAAATGTGGTAGGTATAAGTTTACCTGTAACAGAGTCAAATATCCGGTCATCTTCCTCGTGGAAGCCAGACTCGCATCCGTGAGTTGCTCGTATAAATGGGCCAGTGCAGCAACGCCTCGAGCGTATCTGTCACACGCATGTATGTCTCTAAATAAAAGTAAGTAAGTCACGCGTATAGAAGTGACACTCTTATTTGCAAACATGGTGCATCCAAATAGGCGCAAAAGTTATGCTCTGGCAGCATAGTCCTACTGCTACTACTCACAACTCTGAACATAGATCTATCTGAGCTAACTCAGCCTGACTTTCGGTCCATGTACCTCCTCCATCTAACACGAGCACTATCACCATCAGCACCAAGGAGGTCCACAAGGGTTGTACGAGCGTCCTCAAACTCCAACTCCTCCAAATCCCACATTTGTCCCATCACGAGCAGGTGAAGTAATGTCGAGACGTCATCAAGAGTAACTGACATCTCCCCTATAGGGAGATGGAAACTACTAGTCTCGAAAAGCCACCTCTCTATGAATCCGAGGAGTAAGCCCTTATTGACGTAATCGTAAGAAATATGTGTGAGAGACATCAAAGTGGTATTCAACACAGTGTGTTGAATTCCCTCGTGGCACGATTCTAACTTTTTTTCTTCGTGGGAGATCAACTTCAACATATCCCCTCGATCCTACACATCACTATTTAATAAAATTTCTATTACAAAAAAAAAGCAATAATTAAAATTTAAATTTTGAACTCAGTCGGCCCTACGAAATAGCATAAGCGACATGCTAAACATAGTGCGTCAGCAATGAAGCATCACGTGGACCTCCAGTAAATCCACTGACATCCTCTTGTATGTTAGGAACATCTGCATGCTCCTCCTCATCATCATCGTCAGGGGCCTCAAATGCCTTCTCCTAACCATGAGTCTCATAGGCCTTATATGTTTGCTCCACAAAGGCTCACTCCTCAACTATAGGGTCATCCTCAATAGGAGTTGCACACCTTCTACGAGCGGAAGCGGTAGGTCTTCTCCGAGCTTCGCCCTGCACAGAACTTTCTCTTCGAAAACTCTCACCTCGAGAACTAAAAGATATACCGCGTATTCTTGCCATTTCTGACAAAAAGTTAATTGTTTCATTCTAAAAATTAAATAAATTATTATTTTAAATATCATTAATAAACTATAAAAAAATACAATTCAAAGTAATTAAACTAATAATAATTGATTTATTAACTACAAAAATAAAATAAAATAAAATAAACAATTACACTAATTAATTAAAAAAAATTAAATACATTTCCAATTAATTATTAATTACAAATACAAATTTACTAACATTAACTATAATTAAATTAATAATATTTATTTCAACAAATAAAAATAATTTAGATATATAAAAAATTACGTAACTAATCAAAACTTAATCAATTCATTTAAAAACTATAAATAGAAATACTTATAAAATATTAAATTAATAATCTAAAACGTCAAAAAAAATCTAAAAATATATCAAATAACTCTATATATTCTAATTATATTACTGTTTAAAAAAATTAAGAAAAATATATCAAATATATATATATATATATATGAATTATAAATTCTAAAAGATTAAAATACTAAAAGAAAAAAAAATACAGAACCTGAAAGGTCAAAACGGATGTGGGATATCCGTTTGGCCTTCAATGGATATCCCACATCTGTCGACGGAAGTCAAATATCTGTTGAAGGTCAAACGAATATCCCATATCTATTTTGGTGTCCGCAGACTCTGTTCAGACGACAAAAAATCCAACCACCAGCAACAATAGCGCATAAGTAGCGACAAAACAGCACAGATTCAAAGCACACAAACAATAGTACACCCTAAATTAAACTACCTAACATACAAACAAGCTACAAAAGAATGGTGAAGAAAACTAGTGAACCTGGAGACAAAAACAAGCCGCAAAAAAACTGGATCCACGCTCTTCGACGCTCCTCAACACCAACAACAATGGAAGCAATGAAACCCAAAAGGAAAATAGGGAAGAGACAAATGAAGGAAAAAGAAAGGAAAGGAAGAACAATGGAGAGGAAGTGAAACAGAAATGGGAAAGAGAGATCTGTGAGACTACGAGGTGCAACTGCATAGTGAGTAAATAAGGAGAAGTAGTGTTTCAAATAAATTAAAATATCCTAAATGGTAATAGTAAAAAAGTTTTAACCTAAAGATAAAATTGGAATTAAAAGAAGTTGGGGGAGATGTAGGAAGTGGTGGTGAGGGAGCAACGCTGTGAAAGTTATTTGTTCAGAGGGTAAGGAAATAATAGTATTACTGATGTCCGCTGGAAGGAGGAAAAGGAAGGGAACGAATTTGTTTTGTTAGTTGTAATAATGCAGAAAATGAACCACCAAATTCACGTAATGATAACCATATTTCTCCGAGTCAGCATTTTTATGTGCAATAGAAAAAAAATGAAGATAATATGAATATTAGTAAATGAAAACATGCACTTTAAAACACATGAAAGGAACTACATGCCTAAAGCGATTTGCATGATAATTTTAAAAATTTTGTCAATGAAAACATGTCATATGCAATATTATAGCTTTACTTCATTATTTGATTTATCATAAATATTTAAATTATATTCTTAAAAAAATAAACAAAAATTATTTGATTTTACTTAAATACAAATTTATTTTATTAATATTAATTTTGATTTTTTTTCTAGCATTAAATATATTATTAATAAATATCATTTTATATTACTTTTATCACTAAGGTCATTTTGGTAATCTTTATTTTCTATCAATTAAAACAATTTTTTATCTATCACATCGGTTAAATCCTATACTAACTTTCACAAACTTTACTTCCAAATCCACCCTCACTCACCTTCAAATCCTTTAAAAAAACAACACTCAATTTACTCTCAAATCCATTCACTTCCTGTCCCTCAAGTTATTCCCTTCAAGAACACGCCCTTTATAACCCTCTACTGCCATTAATTCATCGTTCCTTAATTCGTTGTTGTTTCATTTTCTCTATTGATTGTAGATTCAAACATTATTACGATTTTCAATTAATACAAAAGGACATTAAAGCTCCCCTCAACTTTAGCATTGTTATATTGTTGCTTTCATTGACTCCATGGTTGAGAACACATGTATGAAGGAATTATAAAATAATGTAAAAAACAATATGGATGATATGTGTTCTTTATTGGTAACAGTGAAGAAGCTCAAAGTAGCTCTTGTAATTCAATCCAAATCACAGGAAAAGAAGATAGATCAGATCCAACTTGCATTGCAGTAATCTTTAGAAAATGCTTCTCAATCTAATGGAAGTTTAACAAACTCAAGATCAACAATGAAATTTACTCCGATCAACATTGTTCCTGTAATGATATTTCACTTGGTTTCCCTCATTTTGATAGTTCTACTCCATTGTTAGAGTGGATCTTTAAAGCGGACAAGTTCTTTAACTATCATAACACTCCTAACTTAGATCGTATGGAAATTGTTGTAAAAATTGTTAACAAAATCACGAACAGTATTTCCTAAGGTGCGTAGTTCATTGTCCTTAAGAACTTATCCACGGTATATTACGCAAGTCCCCAATATACAAGAGGAACTTCTTAGAAATTTCTAAGGATCTCAGAACTATCAAGGAACTCTAAAAAGAGCAAAAGAATAAACCCGAGATATAAAGAGGACAAGAAAAGAAAGGAAGAAAAACTAAGAATATAGCTTGAGAAATAAAGTTTCCTTTTAAGAGAAGAAGGAAAGCTTAACTTGGTGTATTTTATGGAATGCAGGAAATTCTCTATTTATAGAGCATAAACCTGGTCAAAAATTATTGCTACAATAATGAATAATAAAAATTGATTGTTGGCACTTATGAACTTTAGCCCTTGTTCACTTGAATGGATTTGGGGAGAGTGATTGAATGAATTTGAGATTATTTGATGGTAAATTTTTTGTTGTTTATTTGAGTGGATATTGGAGGTAAGTGAGAGTGGATTTGGAAGTAAATTTTTTTAATCTGTCACATTAATCAAATTCACATTAATTCTCATAAACTTTACTTCCAAATTCACTCGCACTTACCTTCAAAATCCACTCAAATAAACAACAAAAAATTTACTTTCAAATCCTCTCAAATCCATTCAATCACTCTCCCTTAAATCCATTCAAGTGAACATAGGCTTAATGAGAAAATAAAAACTATGCATTTATGAACGTTAAGGAGAAAATAAAAATTGTTGGCCAACATTTAAAACTAACATTTCTTTTGTAATTATTATTATTTTATAATAATCCCCTACATATTGCAAAAGAAAGATAATAAACTTTTATCTCGAGTTTCATAGGTTGTAATGCATCAGAATTAGTGTAGCAAGTTATATGAACCAGTCTTAGATCAAGAAAACTTAATAGACAGTGTAGAACCAAAGACACTTGACGTGTGTTAGAGGTTTATCAATTAAAATACACCTCAACAATCCTTGTTGTTATCGTAGCGTTGCGCTTATTAGGCCATGTGCATGCCCGGTATTCATGAGTGCTCTAGAGATCATGCCAAGATCTTATACAAGCGGCCCAACTCGACACTCATATAGGTGTTTTTATCAAGTGTTGCTACAAATCATACATCACCCATAAGGAATATGAAAATCATTAAAAACTTTGTTTAAGCTAAAATTCTTTCACCACATAGAATTTTAATGACAAAGTTTAACCTCTCATAATGCAGTCTCTAGCACTTTCACACACACACCATAACAATGAACATAATTAATTAAAACTAATTTATTGTTATCAAAACTAACGAGTGACTTATTTTTACCCATATGAGAGATATGGGTAAAAGATATATAATTTAAATAAGATGTTTAGACGTTAGTTTTATGATTGACTTATATGGAAAACGTTTAAAATAGAAAATCAATAAAGCACAGATTTTGTATTGGTTCACTCTACTTGAGCTACATCCAAGTCTCCCTTAAGAACTCTTAAGGGTTTCCACTATTCTTCAAGAAGATTACACAAGTTTTACCTCTCCAGATTTACAGCAAGTATTCTCACCATTTCTGGTTCACCTAGTCAACACGACTAGTTCGAGTTTAACAACTCTTGGTATATAAGTATTATAATCACTTCTAGTCCCACCCTACAGAACTCGTCTAAACTATTTAACTTAACTAAGCTAAACATCAAATGTTTTAATTATCTTTAGAATGTACAACACATTCAGTGTTATGAGCAAATACATATTGATAACTCTCAAGGAACAGATAAAAATAATAAAAAGAAATCTGAGAATTTGATAAGGTTTTTCTCTTTTGCAAAATTTAGCTTTAGACGATATATGAACACAATAAGCTTGTTTGAGCGTTCACGAGTTCACTATGTATTTATTATCTTCTCTTCAAGCTTCTATTTATTTATATCTTTTTTTTTAGAAGTGACCATTAGATTGAGAGGTTGAATTCATATAGAGTAGGTAGCCTTTTGGTCAGCAGTCAGACTCAAGTCTACTTTGCAGAGGTACAATGCTTTGTCATAACATTTAGCAAAACGTAGCTTGTACGATGTGACAGAGCATAAGGCTTCAAAGGAAACATTTCCAAAATGTTTTTCATATCTCTCAACATCTTTTTTCTTAAATGTAGTGATTCTAATAAAGTATTTCTGCATTTTGTGATATGCACTAATATCAAGAACAATGTATATAAGCGTTAAAGCACTTTATCGTACATGCATTAATATTTTGAACATTGATAAATGTTAGGTTGTATTATGTTCAAACATTTTTATCATTTTTCCTTTCACTAATAAATGTATCGTTTGGTAAAGCATTCAACATATATGATCATCATATGATATACAACATTAGATGCTATCAAAAGTTGTTTAAGTTATGCAACATTTTGCGGTCATTTGTTAGATGATTCATTTCATAAGACTCTTGCTTGAATTAACATTGTTTTAAATAAAACACATTTTAAGCTTTAGTGTTGACACTGAGATAGATGCTTTTGTTCATAAAATGCTAGCTTGTAAGACGTTATTACTTAGACGTTTTAGAAGTTGTTTGTAAAAACAATGTTTGTTACCCAAATC